GAAGAGGACGGGATCCGGACCGGCTCTCACCTGTAACGACGAGTTCGGCGGTGCTGGTGGCTTGTCCGGCTCCGTTGGTGGCCCGGACGGAAAACCTCCCGCCGTGCGCGGCGTTGACGGCGTCGATGCTCAGAACAGCGTGGCCGTCGCTGAACAAGATCTGAACGCCTGGCAACGCGGCGGCAGAGAGAACCTGGCCGTCCCGAAACCACGACACCTCGGGAACCGGAGCGCCTGGAGGGCAGATGGAGTGGACTCAGGTGGCGCTCTGTCACTCGGAAAGTGGCTTTTCAGGGTCTGCTGGCTTCAGTACGTTGAAGGCCGCTGAGCGTTTGCGCCCACGTTGCTTTGTCTGATTTTGCGATTCCGACGTCAGGTCTTGAAACACGCGCGCAACTTAGTTTGCACATTAAATGGGACCCCTCGGCCCCTTACGGTGTCCCCTTCCGACCAAGTGAAACTCACAAAAACGACAATTGGTTTGGAATGGTGCAACTATGTATCCCAACTACAAATCACCGAATGGAATCGACAAACGGTGCATTATCGGAAAGTGGCTTCCACTCCCCCGACGACGCGCAAATCCAACGCGGTACATTTGTCAGGTACACTTCAGGCCTCCCTAAAGATTCATTGGCACGGGACACGGGACACGGGACGGCGGGGACGGCTCTTACCGCTCACTTGCGCCTGGAACGAGGCGGCACTACCCTCCAGTGCCACCACGCTCTGAAGCGGCTGCGTGAAAGTCGGCGCCTGTGTCGACATCCTCTTCGTCTTCTTGGCTTTGCGGCCTGCGGGTCAGCAAAAAGACAAAGAGGCAACGCTTTGGACGCTTTTGCAAAAAGCTTCATCGTTTCCCAGGCGATTTGGGGGTTTGCGGCATGCGGCGAATGTTGCCTTTTTTTTTTACATCACGTTTACTTGCAATGATTTCAGGTGTACAGCAGGGGTCACTATTGACCGACCAACACAGTATCAACACAGTTTGCGTCACGTGTCAATATCAATCATCTGCCCATCACTACTCTGAAGCTCAATCAGCTGTTCAACTCCCTGCGAGTGGCCCCTCGATCCCCAATTCTTGGCCGGGTTTCAGGTCGGCACCTTTACACTTCAAAGTCATTTGCTCACACTACCGGTCACGCCCACCCTCCCCTTTTTATTGGGGGGTGGGGGGGCTATTACTGTTGCAATACTAATGAGTATGACAAGGATTGTTGTGGCTACCAACTGTCATGAATTGTCGTGGAAGTTCAATAACTGTTGATATGAACGGATTCAACGGACAACAAACAGCAGACGGCCGAGCATTCCGGCTGCCGTCAATCGACCACCCTGGCGTAAAACTGGCAGTGGTCATCATAAAGAAGTCTGCTAGCACCTCCTGGTGGACATTGTGAGAATAAGCCTTTTCAATCTCGCCACACGAACTTTGGTTCTTGTCAGACCCGAATCGGTGTCATCGTTTGAGCGTTCTCCCTCTGACAAATGGCGACGAGGTCCGACGGCAAGTGCAAATGTTTTGGCCCAAGGTGTCGCCGCCGCTTCAGCAAAGTCCTTTGCTGGCTGACTCGCGCGACAGCTGACACCAGCGATCCACCACCCCCCTGCTCTCCCTTCCTCACGCATGCACACACACACACACACACACACACACACACACACACACGATGCTGAGGCTGTTATAAATAGTTGGAGGGGCCGGGCGAGAGGTGACGGGCGGCGGCAGCTGAAGGGGGCCACTTGCCAGTATCTCAGACATCAATACGACTTGGAAAAGAAAACAACACGCACACACTCCATTTGTGTGTGTATATTTACACTTGGGCGCACACGCGCAACACATCATCTGTAAATTGTAGATCGCGAGCAGCAGCAGCAGCAGCAGCTCGTGTTGAGAAGGAAAAAAGAATCCAAATGTCATTTGGAAGGCGCCCGCTTCTGGAGGCCAGATGACGCCACTTCCGGTTGGTTACCTTGCCAGAGCGCGACAAATTCTTCAAGGACGGGTCCGACGTTATGGATCCTTTGTGGACCAAGAATGCCTCATCCACGTTTGTCATTTTTGTTTCTTTGTTTAAGGAATGCCGAGGATATCGATCAGAATAAGAAACGGCGCGATGAATGCGCTGGGGTGTTCAAATCGATTCGAGACCTCGGGCAAGTTTTGGACGGGGCCGACTGACACGCCCCGCCCCTTTGCTACACCGACATCATTTTCCCATCCCGTCCATCTTCATCGCGGCTGACTTTGGTACACCCCGGACCGGTCGCCGTCTGATTGCGAGGCCCGAATAGACTTTGGAGCCTGGGCGCCACCTCGGGTCCGCGAGGCGTACGCGGTCGCGAGGTTGCGAGAGGCCGCGCGTCGATTCCGCTGCGTTCGGTGGGGTTGAGTTGCGCGCACTTGGAACGGGTCAAGTGGCGCGCGGGCCAAATCCAAAGGAGGCCGCATCTCTGCCCAAAATAGATTTTGGATTGACAGGAAGCATGTGCGGCACATATCTGCGGGAGGGCGGGGGGGGAGAGCTCAAGTGAGCATTCCCTTAAAAAGCCATGGGCCCCCGGCTCCCTCCGTCGGCGCAGCTATTTTGGGGTTTCGTCAAAGTCGGCGCACGCCACGAGCACCAAA